TTCAGTGTAGGGTCTTGCCCAGTGCACGATCCATTCTTTCCCGCTGTTTCCTACATCGCTAGCACATTTGCCTTCATTTAAAGCGTAACGCTCAATTAAACACCATTTCTGTGAAAGGAGGTATAGTTAACATCCTAGCACGTAAGACACTAAGTGATTTTATTGTCTGCATAAAGAGGTTTCATTTGTTAGAGTCCATTAGCTGCGTATTTATATGACTAAGCGAAACTGGCCGAATTTGATTTTCTTCAATGAACAAATGAACTTCTCTACACGTATACGTAAACAAGTGATAGAGACTTCAGTGTCACAGAGAGTTTCTCTCATCTGTAGTTACTTAAATGATTATAAAGCACAACGTTCTAATAAATTGGTCTAGAGAAATTGAACGTACACTTCTAAAATATCGGCCAAAGTCCACAAACTGTGAAGAAACTGAACTACATACAGCTAAAAAGTTGGTACATTTACACTCCCAACAGTCACGCAAGAATTTATACTTGAATTTCTCGAGAAGTAACTACCGACAAATTGTTTGCTTTCATCTAGCAAGTAAATAAATCTAGGCCTTCATTTATTCTTGACATTTTGCTCTAGCGTAAAATTCAACTTGACTAAAAAATAAAAAAAAAAGGGGTGAATTACTGAATGACGAAGCAGTTTTACTGTTCTTGTTTTTCGTTAAATTCACTTCGCATTTACGTAAAGAAATAAGGGCTTTGGCGTCAATTACGATAATTTTCCGCGACAAAAGTCGAAATGCCCACACAAAAAATTATTGATATTCGCAATGTAAGGTACGTTAAACAAGCCCCCGCACTCCACGAAAGACAACTGAAAACATTTATAAAAATAAAATACCTATTCTTCCTGTTTCTTGTTACTGAAGACGAATATCTTGATATATTGACATCAAAGCCGAAATTAAGAAAAGAGAAACCAACCGTAAAAAAAATAAGTTGAGGTTAGCAATCATGACCCAGTAAACAAATATCACGGGCTACCATAGCGCAAATCGATGCCATATCAAACGTTTTGAGCTGGAAGGCATAAATTCTGGAAGTAAAAGCAATATTTGAAAATAGTCGTTTACTTTTTTCGTGCCTAAACGGAATTTGAGTGGGATTGAGTGGTGCGACGCGTGCATTCAATAATGCCAGTGCGGCAAACTTTGAATTGACTATTTCAATGCTATAAATCAGCCAAAGACGAGAGAAGTTAACAGAAAAATATCAAATTTCCTTTTTCGTGAAAACTGAAAAATAAATATTAGAATGCGATACTTCAGACGCGGTTTCGAAGATAACTTACAGGGTGTATAGAGAGTCAATTAGAAGACTGGGAAAGAGAGAAGAAGAAAACGATTTTCTTCAGCAGAAACAAACTGCTAAGATAGAAAATTCGCCAAAGTGATCTCAATCAAAGTGAAAATTGCGCATGTTAACCAGAAAATGAACATGCAACTTTCTTCAATAAAATAGATCCAAAAGTGTTTGGTTACTCAGTTTACAACAAAGCACGTTTTACACTCAACGATTTCAGTACATTGACATCGCGTGCGCGAAAGTGTCACAGTAGATAAATTATACTTGAACGTTGGGGATCTTTAACAGAATGTACATCGGCCCCTTTGTGCGATTAAAAAGGGCTTTAGGGAAACGATCAATTCCGCGTTTAAAGCCACTAGCATTATACAAAGAATACGTTTATATTAAATGTAATTTAACAGTGAGGCCGTAACAACCTCGTTCCCAGAACCTGGGAACGAGGTTGAGGACGTAACTGCAAAAAGATAAAAATGCATAGCGTTCACGCCACCCTTACCCCGCTGGTAACTTTTTAAGATACTTCTTACGCCACCTAAAAGCTGGTGAAGGAGTACTTACCTTTTTTATTCTCCACTCTGATGCTTCTCAATTACTTCACCCTACCGTGTAGTGAACAAACGCAACAGAACGGGAGAGAAACCTCACGTGACAAGCGTCACAAGAATTTTGTTTGAACAAACTTTCCGCCAAACTTCACCTTTCCTTTTAGACAGATCTTTTTGTTAAAGACCAGAAATGTTAACTTTATTGCAAAGTGAAGATCACAACAAAACACGGGTTTAATAGCCCTGCCATGATTGTCATACGGCAGTCCTCTTCTGTCTCTACCGGCCTGTTTATATCTGTTAAAGGAGGTATAGTTAACATCCTAATACGTGAGACACTAAGTGATTTTATTGTCTGCATAAAGACGTTTCATTTGTTAGAGTCCATTAGCTGCGTATTTATATGACTAAGCGAAACTGGCCGCATTTGTTTTCCTTCAATGAACAAATGAACTTCTCTACACGTATACGTAAACAAGTGATAGAGACTTCAATGTCACAGAGAGTTTCTCTCTTTTGTAGTTACTTAAATGTTCATAAAGCACAACGTTCTAATAAACTGGTCTAGAAAAATTGAACGTACACTTCTAAAACATCGGCCAACGTCCACAAACTGAACTACATACAGCTAAAAAGTTGGTACATTTGCACTCCCAACAGTCACGCAAGAATTCATGCTTGAATTTCTCGAGAAGTAACTACCGACAAATTGTTTCCTTTCATCTAGCAAGCAAATAAATCTAGGCCTTCATTTATTCTTGACATTTTGCTCGAGCGTAAAATTCAACTTGACTAAAAAATACAAAAAAAGGATGGATTACTGAATGACGAAGCAGTTTTACTTTTGTTGTTTTTCGTTAAATTCACTTTGCATTTACGTAAAGAAATAAGGGTTTTGGCGTCAATAAAGAAAATTTTCCGTGACAAAAGTCGAAATGCCCACACAAAAAAATTATTGATATTCGAATGTAAGGTACGATAAACAAGCCCCCGCACTCCACGAAAGACAACTGAAAATATTTCTTAAAATAAAATACCTATTCTTCCTGTTTCTTGTTACTGAAGACGAATATCTTGATATATTGACATCAAAGTCGAAATCAAGAAAAGAGAAACCAACCGTAAAAAACATAAGTTGAGGTTGACAATCATGACCCAGTAAACAAATATCACGGGCTACCATGGCGCAAATCAATACCATATCAAACGTTTTGAGCTGGAAGGCATAAATTCTGGAAGTAAAAGTAATATTTCAAAACAGTCGTTTACTTTTTTCCTGCCTAAACGGAATTTGAGTGGGATTGATTGGTGTGACGCGTGCATTCAATAATGCCAGTGCGGCAAACTTTGAATTGACTATTTCAATGCTATAAATCAGCCAAAGACGAGAGAAGTTAACAGAAAAATATCAAAGTTCCTTTTTCGTGAAAACTGAAAAAAAAAATATTTGAATGCGATACTTCAGACGCGGCTTCGAGGATAACTTACAGAGTGAATAGAGAGTCAATTAGGAGACTGGGAAAGAGAGAAGAAGAAAATGATTTTCTTCAGCAGAAACAAACTGCTAAGATAGAAAATTCGCCAAAGTGATCTCAATCAAAGTGAAAATTGCGCATGTTAACCAGAAAATGAACATGCAACTTTCTTCAATAAAATAAATCCAAAAGTGTTTGGTTACTCAGTTTACAACAAAGCACGTTTTACACTTAACGATTTCAGTACATTGACATCGCGTGCGCGAAAGTGTCACAGTAGATAAATTATACTTGAACGATTGGGGATCTTTAGCAGAATATACATCGGCCCCTTTGTGCGATTAAAAAGGGCTTTAGGGAAACGATCAATTCCGCGTTTAAAGCCACTAGGATTATACAAAGAATACTTTTATATTAAATGTAATTTAACAGTGAGGCCGTAACAACCTCGTTCCCAGAGTTCTCTCCCACCCGTACAGGTAGGAGAGAGAACCTGGGAACGAGGTTGAGGACGTAACTGCAAAAAGATAAAAATGTATAGCGTTCACGTCACCCTTACCCCGCTGGTAACTTTTTAAGATACTTCTTACGCCGCCTAAAAGCTGGTGAAGGAGTACTTACCTTTTTTATTCTCCACTCTGATGCTTCTCAATTACTTCACCCTACTATGTAGTGAACATACGCAACAGAACGGGAGAGAAACCTCATGTGACAAGCGTCACAAGAATTTTGTTTGAACAAACTTTCCGCCAAACTTCACCTTTCCTTTTAGACAGATCTTTTTGTTAAAGACCAGAAATGTTAACTTTATTGTAAAGTGAAGATCACGACAAAACACGGGTTTAATAGCCCTGCCATGTTTGTCATACGGCAGTCCTCTTCTTTTTCTGCCGTCCTGTTGCGTACTATTTACCATCGCTATGGACCTTAACGTCAGGAAAGAAATTACTTGTAAATGACAAACCAAACAAATAAGTCTCTTGAGCGCATTTTAAGCTAAAAACAACAAAGATCAACTTTAAAAAAAACTGTCCGACAGCACAGTTTAATCTTCTTTAATTTTGTTCATCTGTTCTGTGTTTAAAACATCCTTCAGTGTTTTAAGCGGTTGATTTTGTGTTAGGCTCTCAGTCAGTTTAATGAACAGTTACCAGTGACTGAATTTGGATGAATTCTGTGACACAGCTTCTTCAACTCTTTAAGCCCCAATAACAACATACCGTAAATCCTCCATTAAGCCCCCTCCATCGAATAAGCCCCCCCTTCCCCACCCCTAATTATTCTTCACTAATAAATCATAGACTGTATTAATCAATCACGACTGTAAAACTTCTGATGTGGAATGATCCAGGATGGTTTATTAACCAACTAAAAGTTCGGATTTGATTCTGATCCTCGGCTGCATGACCTAAAACTTCTTGTACTTGGTCAGCTTTTCCACGCTAGTTCTTTCGGAGAACTGGTACCATCATTGCTTCGAAATTAAATGAGCCACCCATCTCTGTTAAGCCCCCTTCAAATGGGCTTGAAATAAATAAGCTCTGCGGGGGGCTAAATAGAGGATTTACAGTACAAATTCTCCAGTTGGAGACTGATTTCCATACATTTTCTTGAAGAATAAGGAGGAAGTTAATGTGGGTGACTCCTAGGACTTAACTCACAGTACCTGGTGATGGGGATCCCACATCCTCCAGTCTGCGTTGATGAGCTTCAAACAGAGTGAGGTAATCAGGATCATCTTGCTTCTGTGTCTTAATTATTCCGTGGTGTTGACGCACATCCTCCAGTGACCCTTCAGATCCCCCATCTGAAAATTCTAAGGTGTCCAGAACACACTCAAAATTAGTGCAGCACTTGAATTAAATGAAAAGCATCCACTAGAAGAAATTATGTTTATCATAAAGTTAATGACTGGATTGCTCAGTGGAGGTTAGGCCCTGGAGAGAAGGGGGGGAGGGGGTACTATACAATGATTTATATGGGCAGGGTCATAGCCAGCTTTTCGACTAGTTGTAGGCCTGGCTGAAAATTGCACACATGGCTAGTGCGCACTGACCTCACCCACACTTTGTGTTCTTAAGTTTTTTAGCTTACCCCAACAACACGTAATTTATTACAAGGGGTAGAGTGATCAAACCAAAAGTTTGTAGACCCAGGGCCTACAGGTCTATGGGCTGGCAACACGCCTCACGGGGAGGCTATGGGAAATTGAACAGCTAGGAAGTTTTTTTGGTTCTATTTTTCCTTTGTTTCATCTCAGTGTAGCTGGATGTCATGCTCATAGTGTGAGCCAGGGGAAATCCATGGCCAGCAGCCCTTTGTGACAGCAAGCCCTGTCTGTTGTAAGGCTAAAAATCCAGGAACATGACATCCCATTAACAGAAAAATTGGCAAATTGCAGTATTGTGTTAGCTGGTTATGGTCTATTGTGTTGTTCCAGAAAATATCCATACTCCCCACAAGGATGGTATTTTGGTTTGCATGCCCCCACCCCTCTGGAAATTCCAGTTTAGTTTCATACCTTCCTTTAAAAAATTTTGGCCTTTAATATCCCCCTCCCCTTTGGAATTTCCAATGACCATCCTTGGGGTGGTTATGGATATTTTCTGGAACCACACATTTCTACAAATAAATATAAAGGCTGGGCAGCTAAAAATCCATGCCATATTGCATATGTCAGTATCTTCTCCCCCCTCAGCCCAGGACCAGTGTTCTCCCTAAATTTTAGCTCAGCAAGTAAGGGATCATTGATGGCTGGTAAGGCAAAAATATGCCTCAGAGGTGCACTTTTCTGGGGGAGGAGGGTAGCGGAGTGAGAGACATGGCCCCACCCCAGGAGGAGCTAAGTTCTTTGAAACGTCATTCTCTCATTTTAAGAACTCTTTTCCTCAAATCAGCCATTGTTATCTTTAGACAGCAATTTATCCCAATAATTTTATGCTGTCTTCAATGTTCTCTTTCCAAAATGCTTGGCCCATAAAAAGAAAAGCTGTGTATACTTAATAATGTTTCCATATATTCATTCACTGTTCCTTGGTCGAATCGGATCACAACTTGCATATTTTTCAAAAATACTAATTTAATTTTAATAAACCTTCAAGCAGTTGCTGGCGGTAAGAAGTGTTGCTTCAGACAGTAAATTTTACCGGTTACCACTTGATAAGGAGGACACTGCAGGACTACAAGTAAATCTCAAACTGAAACTTACCAGTCTCCTCTTCTTCCTCGTCATGCGCTGTAACCTCTGTGTCATCATCTGTTGATCTAGCAGCCCTTGAATCAGCTCCCACATTGGAGGAACTGACTTTGGAGCTTCTGTTGTCTTCCACCAGGAAAATGTAACGATCTCCATCCTGGATGAGGCGTGTAGATTTTGTAGCTGGTGATGTGTGATTGCTACTGAGAACTATGGGAACTGCAAATAGGAGAGACAAGGACTAGAACAAGATAATGTTTATGGGATCCCAAGAAAATAAATTTAAAATTTCATATGAATTGAGAAAACACACATAAAATCATCATGGGTATAAGATTTCATTTTGTGAAATTTGAAGCTCTTGACGTTTGTTTTCTCAAGTTCTCATTAGAACCTTTTCTTTGGATTTATTTCATATAACTTATTACATTTATAGCCCTCGAAAAGTGTAAAAAAGAATGCAATATGATTGAGATTATTCTGGTACAAGGCTTTTGTCCATTGAAAATTAAAATTACTCAATTTCTTAAAGGATTCTACCTTAAGCTGTCAATGTTTGCATGAAAGTGCATCTTGAAAAATCAGAAAATTAAGATGACCCATTTTGTATAATTGCTGTTAAGGCTGCTGATCAGTTTTCACCAAATACTAAAAGTTTTTTTCCCAAAAAAATATTATTGCAATACAACTATATGTAAGACAAATCTACCTTTATCAAATGATAAAATCAAATCTCTGATGTGGTTTCCTCCAGAAGGTTTTGAACAGTTAATTTTTGCTTCATCTTGATGACTGATGCCTGATTGAGCAAACGTCTTTGGCTGTTTATCTGACAAAACAAGTGCTTGGCATAAGCAAAATAATACAGGATCGTCTGTGAATTTGGCTTGTTCTTAACATGTACAACCTCATTTACACTGAACTGCTGAATCAACCATTCCATTTACAATTTGACTCACTACTTGGTTGTTGTAGAAATCAGGTACATCTTCAAGCATAATGTTGGTTATAATTCAACATGAAGTAAGAAGTATGTACTCTGGTTAAATGCCAGTGTCTCTCCCTACCATAAGCATATTCTTTTTATTGCTTTACTGTTGACAAACAATACCTTCTTTCACTGTAGCTTCTGTTGACTTTGAAGGAGACACATTTTTTTCTCCTGTGTTAGCATCCGTTGAGGTAGATGAACTTATAGAGCAACTTGTTTCAATTGTTTTGTGCGGCATCAGAACTAAACCAGCTATACCTTGCATTCATGCAGCCTATAAAAATTACAAGGAATCATTGCTATATTTGTGATATATTTGTGGATTAGTATAGGTAACAGCATGATTTGTAGTGATATTTGGCATTAATACCACGAGTGATATTTCGAAATTGTTATACGTAATTTCACGAGCCGTTAGGCGGGTCAAATTTGAGACAATTTTGAAATATCAAGAGTGGTATTTACGCCAAATATCACGTACAAATCATGCTATTATTTGTTTATACTACTACTTGCAAAAGGTTTGTAATTTTCACATGTAGGTATTTCGAATTAAGCTGAAATACCACTGCTCTAAGCCAATCAAATTGCAGTAATTTTTCATGCAGTAGTATAATTAGAAACCAACGAAGACAGGCAGTTAAGTGAACAGTTTTTCACCAACACAAATCAAGTCAATAGTTGATCAAAATCTCTTTAAAAATAAAAAAAAGCTAGCACACTTAAGGTTACCAACATAAAGCTTAGGATTGTGACTATTGCGCTCAAACGAACCGTACAACTATATTTTCCATAGATGCAATTGCAAGACAGAAGTCTTATAGCCTCACTAAAACTAGCTATTTAAGCTTACACGTGTTCAATGTAAAACTTCATTGCGTGCGGTGCATAAACTTTTTTGTGTGAATGGCCTTCATTATTTCATTCATCTAAACTGTAACTAGGCTCTCTTTGTCGTGGATGTTTCTATGGTAATTAAAAGATTGCTATGACAATATGAGAAAGACATGTCTGGACCTTTTTGCAACTTTTAACTCATCTTGTACATTTCTTTTGTACGTTTCAACTTTGCCAGGAGTCGACACTGACACTTCTACTAGATCATTTCCCTGAAACTAAAACAAAATTATAACTCACCTTTCCATACAACCTTTCATCTAAAGAACAAACTGGCAGTTTTTGTTAACGGTTTCACTATGCTTACTGCAAGTGTGTTACGAATCCCTTTCAAACAGATTCAAAGGGGCGAAGAGTGGCGAAGCTTCGTTGAGGTTTGTTTGTCGTTCCTTTCGTTCAGCGGTGTTAATATTAAAAACTAGTACTCAGGTGACCGCGGTCAAATGAAAAATATCCGAAAAACCCCCCGGGATGCAAGTATAAAAAAAGGCAGCGGAAATTCGCTCAGTTCGAAGTCCGAAGTGCTGAAAAAAAGAAAAAACAGAAACTGCGTACTTGCAAAGCCATTTTTCAAATAACTTCATATCAGGTACGAAGCATTTCAAGGACACAAAACCTTTTTTTGGTCCCCGTCATCATCTTTTTTTTCAACTTCATGGTAAATGAAATCTCAGGAAAAAAGAAAAAACAGAAACAGCGTACTTGCAAAGCCATTTTTCAAATAATTTCAGATCAGGCGCGAAGCATTTTCAAGGACACAAAAACTTTTTTGGGTTCGCGTAACCATCTTTTTGTCAACTTCATGGTAAATGAAATTCCGCTAAATGAGACGAACTGGGAGGACTGAGGACTAGGACTGGCGGATTCAGTGAACACAGAGCACAGGAGGATCAGGGGCGGATCTAGGGGGAGGGTGCAGGGGGTGCGTACCCCCCCCCCCCCCCCCGGGGCCCCCCGGTTTTTTATTAAACACGATTTTCTCAAAAAAAAAAAAAATGTGTTTTTTTTTTGTGAGTGAATAAAAAAAAACAAGGGACCCCCCCCCCCCACACAACCCACGCCCCCCCCCGCGACCGCCTCCCCCCTGGGGGCGAAGACTTTTTAAAGACACAAAAGCTTTTTTTGGTTCGCGTAACCATCGTTTTGTAAACTGTATAGGAAAATAAATTCCGCTGAAAGAGGGGAACCGGGGGGGCGGAGGAAAAGGGAGGGGGGGTTTAGGGAAAACAGGGCGCAGGGGGACGAGGGGGGGAGCTAGGGGGGGGGGGGGGGGGGGGGGGACCCCCCCCCCCCCCCGAGATGACCTTCGGTTTTCTAATACAACTGGTATTCTGCAAAAAAAAAACTATGTGGTTTATTGGTGTTGAAGTAGAGCAAGAGAAGAGTGCACCCCCTCCCCAAAAAAATCCTGGATCCGCCCCCGAGGATGCCTTTCCGACGATGCAACGCACCGGGTACAATCACACGCGTAATGAACAATTCGTTCAGAGATCTGAACTGCCAAATCCTGCTTGAATACACTTACCTCAAAGATATTCTAGAGTTTGGCAACACGCACGTTTGAGACAAATTAAAAGCAGTGTTGCGTTGTCCCGGAGGCCAAGCCTTGTAACCTTAAGCTTCAAACTCGAGAAGGGTCCATTGTTTCGCCATTGGGTCCACTATCTGGATCACGTTGTTAAAAACTGCCGCGCCTAACTTGATCCAACTTTTAAATAGCATCTATACCTTTCCGTACCACACAAAGGTTGATAAACAGGCTACTTTCAATGTTGGGCAACTGAATTTATTTCGTCATTCAGATATCTTCCCGCTTTTACATTTTATTATGAAACTACGATTTGTTAGATAATTAAAAATACTTCAAAAAGGTAATACAAAAATATATAATTTTGAATACTATACAAAAATACACTACTTCTGCAAGCATCTATAGCGTTACGATGTTTAAGTTTATTTCAATATATTCTACACAACTTTGGTAAAGGCTCTAAACGTCCAACTCTTTCAATTTCAAAAAAATATATATATATATATTATCGCTAAGCAACCCTTAGGGATTTTTAAAATTTTGGTCGCGAAACATACGAGACGAGGTTACCCGTCTCTCTCGCGAGAAAACGCGCATGAGAGAATCTTTCGCGCCATCGCGTGTTTCCCCTTATTTCAATATAGAAATACATATATGTAACAAATATCAGATCACGACCCTGTGGATCATATATGACAAATTGTACGAACCATTAGAAATGTTCAGGAGGGAGGTGGATGAAAAAGAAAGAAAAAGAAAAGGGCCATTTGTTAAACATATCCACAAAACTGACAAAGAAGAAAAACAGTTACAAATTGAATCTCCAAAAGAAAATAGGCTGCGAACCATAACTCTTCTTGTGGTCCGTCACTTATTACACGTACTATATTATTATATTGAGAGCAGATAAATTCTCTAATCTTACACTAGTTTAGATTGTTTACAGCCTCTGTTTTTTCAACACACACAGTAAGGAATGCACCAATTAGCGAGCTCAAGGTGGAGGGTAAGAGAGTGGACAAGTCCCCCTTCCTCGGTCTCCCCATTGAAACAAGAGTCCACTTTATCGAGTAGAAACACTGTCACTAGCAAAACATTGGGCTGTGAACAATCTAATGTTGGCAGTTTGCCTCTACCTAATATCAAATTATAGACCAACCTGGTCCCAACATAATTTCTTCAACCATAAGAAAATAAAGAGAATATAGTAATGTTAGTTAAAAAACATATATTTTATATTTGGTCTACCTGGGAACAACCCCTTACTGCATTGCTTCTTACTCCACCACCCAGCCAAAAAGGAATAAAAACAAGGTATGTCACAAACGTTTGACGATATTACTTGGCACTCACTGCTGATTACTTCCTTGTTACACACAAGCATTAGGCATTGTTCAGTTGTAAAAAGTAAAAAATAAAAATTAAAAATTAAAAATTAAAAAACACACTATAAGTACTTTGAATGGCACTATAGTCAAACCAATAGTGGCTCTGGGCCCTTTGATGTCCACATTAATAAAGTTTGACCGCACATTTTCTGATGCATTTACAACGATGAAAGAGAGCTTTTAGACTCATTGGTAGATCGCAATTACGTCATCTCCGACACACGAAGTATAGTCGCCACTGTTTTGTCTGGGCCTCTTTTACTCCTTTTAAATAAGGAAGCCCTGAGTGATACATGTGTAACCCGACAGCAAGCTTTCTGGTAGTATTGAAACCGTCATAAGTGATGCATGAGCAAGTTGCGAAAGGTACGGCTACAGTTCTTACCCTCTGCCTCTAGCAATGCAGGTGTGCTATAGTTATTGCTTCTTTATGGAGATTCCAGTATATAATGTATATGATACTTGAAAAAGTGTCTTTTTATTGCGGGGCAAACAATCAATTATCATTCGCCTTACAATCTGTGAAATGCCACAAGTAAGTATTACTCACGGATGTAAGGAATTCTCTGTAGAGTACCCTTATGGAAAAATATACGGTAGAGAGGGGAGGGTATATAGAGTACTAACGTTTCTACTAGTTAGCTGGTAGTTCTTCATAAAAATCCTCATCAATAGGCTCTGAAATAAAAATTACACTGCAAATCAACTCCTGAAATCAGAGATCACCAACCTATGTATGGCAACCTTCTCCACCACAGTCTTTTACTATGAACTAACAACTCATTACCCGTTCGTTTTAAGATATTTCTCATGCATATACTGCAAATAGGGATAATTTAAATATCAATGATCAATACAGCTCATTTTCATTGATCATTATCTTTCATACTATGTCTTATACTCTTATTTTAGGCTAAAGATGAGCTACTTTTTACACAAAAAGAGGTGTTTACCAGTGGAAAAGCTATATCTAAAAATCGAAGAACTTGTGACCTATCACTCCCTGCCCTTGGAAAATTAATGTGATAATGTCCAGTATCATGTACCGTGAAAAGAAAATCATGAAGTTAACTACGACACTTTAAGGAGTAATTTTTATTACCTTGTCCAGCAATATCATCATATACTTCTTGGTCATAACCCTCTGAAATGAAAGGAACAAAAAAACTCCTAGTCAATTGACAATGACTTTAAAGCATGATCTCCGTTTGGGCCCTCCAGAGCGAGAGGGGATGGCTCTCGTGGATTAGCGGAAAGCAAAGACAACTGCAAGGGAATGAGGGAATTCCGGATCAATTTAGGTCTCAGGGGAACTGCCCACCTACCCCTCCCCTAACCCACCATTTTGCCCTAAGTGAGAAGTAAGTGTTAATGTTTACTTAGGGGAGGGGTAGGTGGGCAGTTTCCCAGATACATGTAAAAGTGACGGGTATTACTTTCTAAAGAAACTTAGAATGCAGCAGCCTGTGAACATAGACGTCTTCCAGGTCGTCGCTTCTCTCCACCTGAAAAATAATGGGTCGAGAGAAGTGATGACTGGAATACGCCTGTGTTCGCAGGCTAAGAGTGCAGTGCATGGGAAGGAAAGTACTTATTGTACAAACACTGAAACTTAGATTTTTTGAAATAATTGATAAATATGTGTTCATTTGTCACCATAGCGAGACGCAAAGATTCTTCATTGCAGATTCTTCTTCCCTCGTCAGAGAAATACTCAGGAGTGTTCCCCTACCCAAAGTGAACAAGAACAAAAAGTCTGTTAAACTTAATGGCAAACTTGTATACCTTCTTCAATTTGATCTTTACTCTGATATTTGTCCACATCTTCATAAAAGTCTTCAGTTATAATTGCACTGAAATTTAAATAGAAAAATTAGTAACATGTTTACCTTACATTTCAATACACTTGCAGGGGGGGAGCCAGACCTTGAGATAAGGGTGGGGAGGGAGGGGGCGGTCATCCAGACCCTTAGATGGTGGGGGAGGGGGGCAGTCTTGGAAAAAAAATTTTTCGGCCCTTCGAGCCTCAGTTTGGTCTAAAAATAAAGGCCCGGACCTCTTCCCTGGTTCCGCCACTGACTTGTGTCATCATTTTTAAATACTGTAGGTACTATGGTGAGAATCGACATTCGTGTTATGAGACATCAAACTATTAAAATGTTAGTTGTTACAGAATTTTTATCATCTAATTTAATACAATAAAATAATATTGTTCAAATTGTTCTTTCAATATTATGTATGTAAAGCAAATGAAATGGTTGATCAGCTGGTGATCATTTTTGTTTCTGGCAGGAAAAGGAATCTAGATTATTTAAGTGTACTAGTTGTAGACTTGTTTTACAATGATGTGGAAACTGACCTTTGCTGTAGAGTAATAATAATTAAAAAGCTACTTTACCTGAGCCTGTTGCCTTCACTGTCAATCTGAAATTTAATCAAAATCATATAATCTCAATATAAGCTACTTTGCAACAAAGTTGGGCATGTTAGGCCCTATTCCCAAGGAGGGGGGTAACCCTGGTGCTAGGGTTACCCTAGCAAGAGGGTTACCCTAGCCCTCGCATATTTCTTTTTTTTTTTTCACACAACGTGCTTACAAGGCAGGTAGGGTTACCCTAGCACGCACTAGGGTAACCCTACCTTAGTGCTAGGGTTAACCTAACAAGGGGGTTATCCTACCTGCCTTGTAAAGGCTCTGCTAGGGATAACTTGCCCACCAGGGTCAACTTTCTGCTGTCATGCATGACCAGTAATCGTGCCAATTTGAACGGAATTAACCAACGAACAAAACAAAAAAGCTTAATAATTATAAATATCTGAAAAAAAAGATGTTATTTTCTGTCTACGATGATAATATTTTCTCTTTTATTCATGAATTTAACGTGTTTTCCATAGAGAACTTCAAGATTATTTCAAATCTGGGACCATTACAAAGAATGTCATGCATGATGAAACACGTCAGCAAAGCTGGTAAAGTTGACCCAGGTGATAGGGTAACCCAACCTGTGAAATTTGTTTGTAAACCAGAGCTAACTTTAACCCGCTTGCTAGGGTAACCCTAGCACAAGGGTAACCCCCTCTACTTGTAAACAGGCCCTTACATTATGAGAACTTAAGTGACTTGTTTCATTTTGCTCAAAAATTGCTGATTTCTGATGCAAGGAGTTGTCGCATTCAGCATTTTTGTTGTCTTTTGTTCAAGGGTGGAAAAAGACAAAATTGATTAAGATGTCTTTAGATTTTTTCATCACTTCTTATTATTTAAAATGTACATGTAGCTAAAGTATGCAGTAACAATCTAAAACTTACTTTGAGTTGAATAAGCTCTGTTGGTACGTATCCCACTAGAAAAGCAAACAAACAAAAGTTAATATTATTCTTATGAGAAGTTAAATTATAAGAAAAAAGTTTCCTCTCAGTAATCTCTTTTCCAAAGAAAAAACAATGATGATGATGATTACGATGATGATAATGATAAGTTTTAGGTTTAACTGATGATTAAGGATTGATGCCTTTGTGTAATGAACACCAACTGCACATGAAGAAAATAATTATACTGTTTTGAGGTTTAAAGAATGGGGCAGGGAAAATGAGAAATGTCATGTATATGGTTACTACAGGTACTGAACAGTAACAAGAAACAAGTGTGCAATCAAACAAAAGTATGATACATACAATGTCCTTCTGTGTTCTTGACCAGCCATTTTCCCGAAGGACATCCTTTTTCACAAACAACAACCAAAGTCTCGCCTTGCTTTGCTGACAGTTCAAATTTCCCTTCACCAGGGAAATTGCTTTTCAATTCTCCAACGCCATGACTTTCTTCACTTCCTGGTTTCAACTGGAAATGTAAAAAGATAGGAAGTTAACTACTGAGGCGATTTCCAGTCAATAAATAGAAAGGCTTAGAAAATCAAGTAGATGCTAGTTAGTGTATTGAAAGGTTTCACAGTAAAGCCCTGGTCAGTTCATTGTTTGTGTTCTTGGGCAAAACGTTTTACAAGATTATTATCATAACAGTGCGTCAATCAACCCTGGTGTACAAATGGGTTCTAGTAAATTAAATGCCTGAGGTAAGGGGGGGGGGGGTAATATAATTATTACCGTGATGGTCTAGCATCCCACCCAGGGGCGAGTAGAAATTCCTAAATTCTACATGCCATGGAAACTGGCAAAAGCCTTGGCCTGATTGGCCACTTTTAAATGGCTCAAACACAGACTTCGCCTTTTTCACATTCAAATACTATAATGGTAACTGTTGGCTAACAATATAAGACGAACAGGGTTATGATATTCAACAAACAACAAACTGATCAACTTAAAAAACACACCTTGTGTTTCTTCCGAAGCTCCCTATCATCCCGTTCTCTTTTCTTTTTTTCTTCTTCTCTTCTCTTCTTCTCTTCTTTTTCCTCTTTTTCTCTTCTTTTCTCTTCCTCCTTTTTTCTTTTCAGTTCTTCTCTCTCTTTCTTTTTCTGCAGTTCCATCTCCTTTTTAAGATCCTTTTTCCCTTTCTCTTTAATCTGTTCTCTGCAAAAATGGGCAAAAACAAACCAAAGCAGCTCTTCAGGGACTGTTTCTATTTGATGGTCAGAGGGGAGTTGAGCAAGATGGACACGTCTTTTTAAGCTCCCCTCACTTTCTTATTCTAGCTAATTTTTCTTTTATATTCTTCCTACTTTTTTACTATTTCTATACCGGATCCAGTTTTGCTTTCTCATTATTCACTTTCTCTAATAATTTCTTTCCTGGCTTTTGAACTTTGTGTAATAAAATTATTGCAAATAATGATTGAATTGTTGTCCACAGAGAATAGCTCTGGTGGCTGTGGGTAATATAATAATTATGTTATATAATAATTATTGTAAATTTTTATCAAAATGAGTAAACTGTTGTAAGTTGTTGTTGTTGTGACATGCGCACATACTCTTTTGACTATTACTCGTTTTCAGATAATAGCCATTGAACTGCAATTTGCTGGACAGGAAGGAATACTTAATGAACTATTACCGGTAATTTCATTCTCTCCAACTCCAATTTACTTGTTTCTCCAACCACCTCAGACATTATAATGATGGGTATACCCATCAAAGACAAATTTTAGGTTTCTTTATTTTCAGTTGATAGTGAAGTGAATGGGTGCAACTCAGTAGGTTAAGAAAATATTACTATAATAACACCTTGGAGTCGCTGAGGGTGAAAACTTATTTTCAACAGGTGAATCAAAGCCATTTTCTGATCCTCCCTGTTCCTCTCCAGGTAATGCTTCGTACATTTCTTCACCAAATGTCTCTCCACTGCCTACAGCACTAAAATCTACAATAATATTAAAAGCAACATTTTAAAATCCAGTTTAAACAGGTAGATAAGTGCCAAGGGTCCACAGTAGTTTTTTTTCTGGAATCCTAGATTTTCACAGACTTACACGAAATGTAATATTTGAGGACTTCAGACTGTAGAGTAGAAGAAGCAGGAAAGATTCTGGATTACAGTATTTGACTTTACGAATGAGATATGGGATCTGGAAATTTGGTCACCTGCAAGACAGGGATTTAACTGGGATAAAGCCCAAACTACACTAATAGCCATCTTTAATTCCACAACGGCCACCTCTCTACAATGGCCGAACTCCTTTGTCCTGGCAGACAGTCCATACATTGACTCTTCTTTAAACCTCTCTACAACAGCCACTTTCTACTCCCCCCAAGGTGGCCGTTGAGGCCGAGAGGTTTAACTGTATTTCTAAATAACTCCACAAACACTTTCATTTAAATAAATTTGTTCCAGAGTGTGGGAGAGGGCAGGAAAGCAACTCCAAAGCCCTTAATGCTCCCTCTTTCTGTACTTATTTGTCCTGCCCCTGTGATCACATACCATTTCTTAGATGGTTCTGAGCTTCCTCTGCCACTGTATCAAGGTCATCATAACTCTCTTCACAGATGGGCTCAGCATTCTGTGCTTCATCCATGCTTCTATTTATTTCATTAACTTTTTCTTTGATTTCATCAACATCATCATAGTTTTCTTCAAGGATCCCTGAAGTTTGAGAAAATAAAATATTTTAAATTCAGTATTGAGGCTCTTTTATGGCCGAGGGTACATGTGTCCCAAGTCTGAATTTCAAACATTTTGTTACTCCTAGCCAGGTCCCCGTCAACAGTATTCTATTATTTTATAATTTGTCACTTGTGATCCTCAAGGTTGCAGTTTCAATTGATCATCTTTATGTCGTTTGCTAGCATTTAAACTGTCTAACTTTGCCTAATTTTAGGGCCTGATGTTGCACCTTCTAACAGATTATCAGCATTTAAAATCTCCTCCTTCGGTTAATTTACACCGTATTTGAGTTCAAAATGGAAGTGAAAAATGCCCCTGTTATAGTTTTAGTGACTTTGAGATTGTTTTGAATTATGCATTAATTTTGTTGCACAAGCAAAAGGCAGTTTTATAAAGAGAGAAGTTTATGCATGTATCAGAACTCACTTACAATTAAATCCCCCCATGCACTCTTAGCCTATCCTTAAATTACAATAAATATTAGAAGATACAGAAGTTTTCTATGAATTTACTGTACCACTGTCTTCTTCAGCTGTTTGTTCAGCCTTAGCTTTGTCCAGAATCTGAGCTTTTGTCTTCTCGTCAACATCATCATAATCTTCTTGCTGGAACTCATCAGCTTCAGTAATAACATCACCTATGGCTTATTAATGAGAATCAATATTACATGCACAGTCGACTCTCTCTAAGACAGACAACTTTGGGACTGGTACTACGTGTCCATATTAGAGAGATATCCATCTTATAGAAAGTCAACCAAAAAGAGTAAAAAAAAGGCAGGGACCAACTCTAGGTGTCATGCTTGACCACTGGGCATAAACATATATGCTACGCGACAAACAAACGATAACTTGTCCCCTTTACTTTTCCCTTGATTCCTTATTTTTTAGAAATTTAAGGGCTCTAGCATCATAGCACACACTATCACAGCAATAATACTAAGGATGGACAAACTGCATGGACAACCACCCTCCCAAAAATCCACCCCCTCCAACACCCTTTTTGCTTTAGGTTTCATATAACCCTTTAAGCCTCAGTATCCACATACAAATTCTCCAAACTGATCTCCATACATTTCCTTTAAGAATTAGTTCAGAGAATTTAATAAAACATCAAGGTGTTTTCTCATTCGTGATCATTTTTTATATTCTCACAACCTTGTCTCTTGACAATGTATGGAGATTGTTAGGAGAAAATTGCTGTTGGTCACTATTGGGACTTATAGGGATAAAAGATAATCAACCACAATACCTATGCTGCCTTCCATATTCCTAGGCAAAGACAAAGTATTTCGTCGATGAGCAATCACAATGTCTGCTCGACTATACTTTGTCAAAACGTCCTCTAAACCCTCCACTTTAACTGGCTTTGAAGGAGGCTTTCCCAAGCTTTCAAGTGTTGGCAAAATGCGGAGTATAGGATCTCCTTGTGAATCTTTACAGATCACAAGATTCCTATTAACATCAGTCGAGTTCCCTTTATTCTCCTTTGAACTGTCATCAGATGAGCTTGAAAGTTTCCTTTCGCTCTCTCTGCCATCAGGATGGGGTTTGGGTTTGGGTTTGGGCTTTGGTTTAGGCTTGGCAGTTTCCTCTGCCTCATTTTGAGTTCCCTGTTCAACAATAACTCTCCTCTGTTTAATTTTCTTCAAAAATTCATTTTCTGGTTCATCACTGCCAGCAGATGTAAGATGTTTGTTATCAACATCTTCAGCAATCAAGCTATCACGAAAACCCGTCCTCTTAAGTTTGAATCCAGGAATCAACTGTGCTATTTCTGGGTTGCTATCCTGTGTTTTCAATGGTCTATCCCTTGGTGGAGAGCCCTTTTTGGGTGGTGCCTTGGGTGGAGGAGTTCGCCGTAATGAGCTCCTCTTCTGCTGTACCTCATTCAGTGGAACTGACATTTTTATAACTGGTCAAATAAGCACTGCAAAATCCACTGAAAGACAGATAAAATATGTTGGTGTGTATAAGAGAAATCATTTATTATTGATAATTAAATTAACCAGTAAAATTAAAGAGATATCGAATGTCCCTTATGGTCAACTGCGTGGTCTGGAGTCTCATCTTTTGTAAGATCCGGAGAGACGGGGGGTAAGCTCTTACCCACCTCTCCCACCCCATTTTTTTACACGATTTTGTATTTTCAATTTCCATATTTCTTAGTTTTACTAGTTCTAGTTGTTTTCCTGTTTATTGTCCAGTTATCAGCCACGCAGTTGTTTCGCACTGTTCAATAAACTCATTTTGAGTTATTTTGTTAATAACCTGGTCCAAAATAATCTTTAACATAACCTAGTACTGTAAACAGTTTAACCAGGTTATTTTTCTTTGTCAGCTGTCAGATTTAAGTGTGCTGAGAAAGAAGCTGAACTTGGACACAACACGAACTTTCACTTAACCCTTTACGTCCCAATAGTGACCAACAGCAATTTTCTCCTAACGACATCCATACATTGTTATGAGATGAGGTTATGAGAATAATTAATTAACTGATCACCTAAGAGAAAATACTTTGATCTTTTATCAAATTCTCTCAACTCATTCTTTAAGGAAATATATAGAGATCAGTTTGGAGAATTTGTATGTGGATATTGGGGCTTAAAGGGTTAATTTCTTCCACAAGTAACATGAACAGTCCCCCTTTTCACTTTCCTTACACTGTACATACCAACTCTTATGCATACTTGGGCTACCTGTGCCATGGCAGGCTTATCTACAATACTCGTCACAAATCATTGAAAAAGACACCGCTTCTCTTGAATTTTCTAGAAAATTCAAGAGAAGCACTCCACACACTTTTGTTCCAACTGTAATGTGCCCTCTCCCTCCCCAATGTTCAGCCATGCATATATTGAAGCACTGAGACCACTGTAATACCCAAATCAACGTTGGGAAAGGGGAAACGCACACAAGTGTTTCAAGATTTTTTACGAGGATTGTAGATCTGTAGGTAGCACTGCAACCAAGCACTTTATTAAACCATAGTAAACTACAGTCGAACCTCTCGGTACGGACGGACACCTTTCTTATATGGACACCTCTCTATTACGGACAGTCTCCTATGTACCGACAAAGTTCTCATACATTTCCTCTAAAAAAAAGACGTTTATAATACAGACCCTCTCTAATACGGACAACAGACACAAAATCTCAGCCCTTGGGAGTGCAGTTACACACACATTGACACTTCATCAGTCAGCGATACCAATACCAGAACATGTCTTAGACGAAGTACTTCGTTTTCTTCCAAAATTTGTATACATGTACAGCATACAATAACATTAATCAATTTAGATTCAGAAATTAACAAGACAAAGAGTTTTGGGCTTAATTTTACTTACTGAACACTCTAACCTGTCAGTGGGGTCTTAAAAGTGACGTAATCATAGTGACCTCTCTAATACGGACACCTCTCTAATACGGACACTTCACTCTGTCTCTTCAGTGTCCGTATTAATCAGAGAGGTTCGACTGTATTTTCAAATATATGTGGAGCTCAGAACAACAATCAGCACAAATCAGCGCTTGTGTGATTAATCAAATTTCATCTTAAAAATAAACGGTACTTTAATTACTTGGGTTAAGCTCTGATCGCCTTAGAGATCGTTCACATATTTGACATGGAAGTTATAAGGTCCCGGTAAAATTTTGCCGGTCGAGGAGAAAACAAGCAAATAAATTGGCACAAATGTACCACAAAAATATCGGGAAATGCAAAAGAAAAGATTTAATGGCAAAATAGGCGACTCAATCCATTCAAAAAACGATAAACTTATCTAGCTTCCGGGAGAGAGCTCGCTACTTGAAGCGCGAGCCTTGAACAAAACATTAGCTTTCAATTTGATTTTTAATTATTGACCTCAGCTTTGGCGATATTTATCACTTAAGCAAAAATATATTCATCTTTCTCTTGATTATGGATAGCCCTGAATTCTAGAGAGCATGATAAGCCTCGGCAGCAAGACTGTTCACTGCCATTTTAGGTGCAGAGCTCATTCACAAACAAGAATTTCTTGTTCACTGTGTAAGGTCAAGGAATGCAAATGTCCTCTGTTGTGAATAGTCAATACGAAACCTCATGAAATGTGATCATTAGAAAAGAATATAACGATTAATATTACGCTTTCAACTCTACACTAACAGACGTTCACGATATCGAAAGTTTGCCATCTAAGCACCTTCATTAGGTTCACAAGATAACAAAAATTTCTTCAACTTTAAGAAGTAAAGTGATACACGCCGAAACTCATACGGGAAAATGAACAATCAAAACGAGACACTTCCCTTCAACATTAACATTTAAATGCCCCTAAATCTAAAAGAAATCTGTAAACATACCTATGCTTGCTACATGGGGTAGTTGAAATGCAGTATTCAACGAAAAAATTCTTGTTGAAGATCAGAATTCTAGCACTCTTTCAAACTGGAAGCGATCGTGCTGCAAAGCGCTGCAAAATACTTCCGTTTGACCAGCATTGGGCAATCTAAGGCGCATTTTGATTGGCTTATTTTGACAATAAAATACAATTTTTGATTGGATATTCACTCTCCACTTCCCTTTTGTTTTCTCTGAAACCAGTCTAGTCTGAGTTGCAAAAATTTTCCGCATGCTACAAAAATAGAAACCTTAATGAATCTCGCCAATCTTTAAATTTTTTGTCCGGAAATTTTTAACTCTTCTAAAAGAAAGTTGACAACCTACGATCAAATGGCCCCTAGAGGGAGAGGAGCGACCTAGACGACCCGTTAAGACTCATTTTTTCTCGAGGCCGAAAACCACTTCAGAGATTTGCTCGATCTTCTTACTGGGTCCCCCGGGGGTGGGGGGGGGGGGGGGGGAAACCCCCCAAATAAAAGGGGGGGGGGGGGCCGGGCGAAATTTTGAATAAAACCCACAAAAAAGACACGACCGGGGGTAACCAACACTTTTTTTTACCCCCAAAAAAAACCTCTTTAAAAAACCAGCAAAACAACAATTTTT